ACTTTCGTCAAGATCAAGGTCACAAATTTTCATTGATCCAACTCAGATCAGGGAAGCTTTCCCAGTCTTATTCTTATAGGGGAATCCTTGTTTACAATATTGCCTCATTAGCATAAGCAATTCGGTTTCTGATGGAGCTACAAATAAATCAGTTCCGAATATTGAAAGGTCATAGTTCAATGAATATGAGCCTGATGTATTGAATACTTTTTGTGCAACACGGGTTTAAAAAGTCAAAATGTTACAAAGAATGTATCAGCTCATTAGCGCTTTTACAACCCAAAATTTTTTGCAGGTTTTGAGGGACAATATCTCCTTGATTATTACACCCAAAGAGCTAAACATTTTACCGTGTATTAAGTTTCATTACCTCTTTAGCTGCCTGGAGTCAATTCATATGTAACATGTTTCCTTCTGTACGCAAGGCCGTATGCGAATGAGCAAAAATGTAAACAATGACGTCAGCGTGAATCTCCCAATATTTAGTGAAAATAAGTAAAGCGTGTTGTAGTGGTTCTTTTCGATTTCCTGGTAAATTGAGTCCGTTTAGTCCGTATAGGTGTCCGTTACAAACAGTCCAGCGTTCCCGACCAGTGTTTTGAGTCTCCAGATCAAGTTGGCGGTGGTAGTTTTTGCCTTAGCTTTCTCAAATTAACCTGTTGGTTAGTTTAATTCTAACTATGGACCGTTTCCGCCACTGAACTTTTGCATATAATTATCGAGAGCTAAAGGCTTAATGAGGACGTAATTAAAAATATTCGATTCTTTGTCAGCAGTATCATATTTTTGTAATAAACCTTCTCAGTCCTCCTCTGCAAAACAACAACGTGAATTGTCAAAGTTCTACTTACTATGGAGGCCGTAATCGAAGGCGACTAATTTTTCGTACTTTCATTTGGAATTGAACGCTGGTGTCACATTTTTAACTTGAGCAAGTTCTGAGACCAACAGGCGTTCTCGACAGATATGATCTTGAAAACTACGAAATTCGACGGTAAAATATAAACTAATTTTCTGCTAGGCGTTGCTCTCTGGTCGCCGTCGTCACTGCGTAAGCTTCCTGATATTACCGATTGGCTTCGGGACCTTGACAAAATGGGTCATCGTTGTTTTGGCCCTCTCTCCTCGGCAGAGGTTCGAACGTTCGTTATATAAATCTGCTATGCGAAGTGAGTGCAAGCGCAAAATCGAATGGATCGATCAGCCGTCACCGGTAACCCTGCGCCTGCACTTACATTATTCAGCGGATCCTCCCCACCCGAAAAAAAAAACCTTTGAGCCTCTGTGGAGGAGAGAGAGGTTTTGGCCACTGCTGGAGCATATTGGCTTTGAAATTTTGCCAGTGCGCAAAAACTCCTGTTGGCCTCGGTTCTTTGTCAGTGTTCTTTGCCAGTGTTCTATGCCTTGAGGGGCACATGTTTTAAAGTGGTGAAGAGATTCTTGCCAATTAGATTAGGAGCTCGAGATTTCTATCGCTTGTTAGCTTAAATCTACTAGCGTTCTATCACGAATGCCGATCTCTGATTGGCTACGCTACTCACTATCTATTCTGTGA